AGCCTGGTCTTCAGAGCGAGCTCCAGGATAGCCAGGGCTACACAGAGAAGCCGTGTTTCGGGGAAAATAAATAAAGAAATAAAATGTTTTCCGTCTCTGTGAGAGTGGAGGACCCTGTATTTACAGTGAGAGCACTGCAGTTCACTGTAGGAGGGACTGGCCTGAGCTGAGTGTCCCAGGCGGCATTACTCGGATTGCGCCGGACATGTGCTGTGTAGGGTTCTCCCCTGTGCGTGCAGAGCCCAGGCTGCAGGGACTCCTGACAAGGCCGGAAACACCTTAGAATCCAGAGCTCAATTTCGAATTAATTTTTGTCTTTGCATGTCCAGAAACCTTTACTGTTGCCCAACTTCTTATGACCCCACGTTCATTTCTGTTCCCTTTGCGGGGTTGGGACGTTTGAGACGCTCGCTGTGTTTTGAGACCATTTCTAAATGACAGAACAGCTCCATAGATCCTAGATGACGAGGCCCTTTGTGTGTAATAATTCCCAAAGCGCTCTGATTGCAAGGACTGGGGAGTACTTGGTGTTCACAATAATTTCCCAGGCCATTAGGAAAAGTGTTTTTAAGGCACTCAAGAATTCAGGGCTTAGAAACTTTCCCATCCAGATTGGTCTCTTAAAGGAAACGTGGTACACAGTATATTTTATTTTTTGTTCTTCACCAATTCATTTGTGCAAGACGAGGGCACATTGACTGAGGAGGGGTGTGGCAGAAGTCAGTCATAGTGTCTGTGTCTGCTTTTCACTCTTACCATCAGTTTTCCCAGCTTTCGTTAGTGCTGTTTCTGACAAATAGCTTTTACCTAAGGAAGGCATGATTCCGTGTTGAAATTTTAGACCGTAAACTCCTGAGAGAATAGTGTTCTTGTTTTTCTTAAAACCCACGTTGTAACTGGTCCCATCATCCACACCCTTGCGCCTCCTTTGTCTACCTGCTCATCCTGGGAGATGGAGAATTGGCAAGTGTTGGTAGGAGCCGTAGGAGTGTGCAGAAGGGTGAGCCTGCCTGCTAGCCACACACCGGAGGCCAGCCATGAGAGCTGGGCACGCACCAGCAGGCGCCCGCTGCCTTGTTCCTGGTCTCCTGCTGAGGGTGTTCACAGCGTGCAGCTGATCCCTCAACTGTCTCCTAGCTAGTGACTTTCCTTACCCCAGATGGCTTGTGGAGTGCTGGCTGCCTGCCACGTACCCTCCTTCTCTGTTGCTTTTCCTTTTGAAAGATGCTTCCTGGAAAAGTCTATTCCTAAGTGAAGATTGTGCTTTGAGGTTGACAGTGAAGAACGAGTTTAACCTGTCTCCACCTTTGGGATAGGTGGATGGGTGGGTGGGTGGATGGATGGATGGATGGGTGGATCTGTGGATGGATGAGTGGGTGGATAGATGGGTGGATGGGGGGTGGATGGGAGGTGGATGGTAGGTTGATTGGTGGGTGGATGGGTGGGGGGTGGATGGTTGGGTGGATGGATGGTGGGTGGATTGGGGAGTAGAAGGGGGTGGTGGATGGGGGGTTGATGGGTGGGGGGGTGGATGGTTTGGTGGTGGATGGTTGGGGGGTGGGTGGATGGATGGATGGGGGGCTGGATGGATGGATGGGGGGCTGGCTGGCTGGGTGGGTGCGTGGTAGATGTAACCAGTTGGTGCACTCCTTCTTGGAGAAGACTTATTTCTCCCGCTGTCAGCATTCCTCAAAAGTAACCCTGCACTCCCAGGGTGCCGGAGAAGCCAGCAGGCATCGTTTCAGGAAGTCATGGACCCTGTCTTGCTCTCTTTGGTTCTCATGTTGGATCTGGGCTATGAGTGCATACATTGTGTGGGACCAGGAGCAATCTTTATCTGTTTTGTTATTTGCGCGTGCTCGCGCGTGCGTGCGTGTGTGTGTGTGTGTGTGTGTGTGTGTGTGTACGTACGTGAACATATGTACATGCAAACATTTTACCGTCTCCTTAGCAGGCACCGTGTTGTTAAGCAGTTTTGGATTATACTTGGTAGACTTACTGAGAAAACATTTTGAGTTTTCAATATCTATTGAAAGGCAATGGCTAATAAGATGATTGTGGGAATGAACAGTAGCTCATTACGAGGCTCTGAGTGTGCCCTCCTAACACTCCTGTGTTCACTAAGGATGCTCCTGGTGGTAAGCGGCCCAGGCCAGGGACTGACAGTCATGTCTGTTGTTGGTTACTGTGTATTTAATTTTAAGTCCCTCCCAACATTTGTAGACTACTGTGCTTGAAGTTTCTGCGTCATTTGATTGGCTGAGATGTGCCTGCCTGAAGGTGCACACCCCTGGGGGTGGGGGGCTGAGTGTGAACTTGAGCTGATCAATGAATCATCTCTGCGGTTTAGTTTTCTGTTATAAAATGAGGTCAGTGGCGCTTGCGCGTGTTCTGGGAGGAGTACAGGCGTGTGTACAGTGCACGCGTGTCCAGCGGGTGTGCTCGGAGCAGGCTGTGCTGGTGCCTGTGCTCTGGGCCTCCTGGACCACGAGGCTGTGCAGGCCACAGGTCACGTTTGCTGGAGCTGAGGCTACCTAGTTTGGCACTGTCTGTGCTGTGAGAGTGAAAAACCATCTCTTCCCTGAGTTTCATGAAGTCAGTGAAGAGCTTTTGTACGGTCACATGTTTTTAGGTTGAATGTTGCTGAACAACACAAGCTGCAGAGAAGGGTGAGTGTTAGTGTGAGTGAGTGCCGTGAGCAGAGAGAACGGGGTTGTGGTGCACCTCAGCTCAGGTTGCACCACCAGCAGGACCTGTCAGGGATGTCAAGATGAGAGGGATGCCGTGTGAGGAGAGGGAGTCTGAGATGAGAAGGAGGCCATGTGTGGAGAGGCACGCTGTGTGAGCAGAGGGATGCTGTGAGGAGAAGGACAAAATGTGAGGAGAGGAAACCACTCGATGAGAGGGATGCCATGTGATGAGCTGGGTGTGTGTAGGCTGAGAACTGGACAGGCTGGCAAGCAGGTGTCCGTATCTCCTGAGACCCTGCCTCTGAACCCAAAACCAAGTAGCCAGACAAACACCATGATGGAGGGGGTGGCATCAGACAGTGATGGGCTGTCCTGAGGGTGGAGGCCGAGTGTGCATCAGCTGCCTGTGTCCATCCGTGCATCTGCCAAGATCGTGTTACTGTGAGGTTTTTTCCTTTCAGTCCCCTCAGTGAGGCTTTCCCATCAGTGCACACAGTGGGGCTGTCCCGTGCATGCGCACAGTGGGCCTCTGTCAGTGCGCACAGTGGGGCGTCAGGCACTCTAAGGAGGTCTGGGTGGTCTAGGTAAAGATTGTGCAACAGTTAGCTAGTGTTCGATGTGTCTGCAAATCTAGGCAGAGCCATGTGTCCTCTCCTTGGGTTGAAGCTGTCAGTGGTCTTTGGCTAGGCCGACAGTGATGCAGCCTTGCCAGGGGAGCATGTCATCTTGCTTGTGTTATTTGGAGTAAAGAACGATGCCACAGTAGAAGTACGGAGAGCTTCCTGACACGCCTGGCTTTCCTGAGGTGCATTCTGAGCAGGCCTGTGTCACACGCCGAAAGACTGGCCTGCTGTGTCCATCCGAGCTAGTCCAGCTCGGCAGGCCTGTCTTCTCAGGAAGACAATCCGCCAGCCCCGTGCTGTTCTGAGAAGTGTGCTGAAGTGAGATGGAAGGAGCCTCGGTACAGGGGCTGGAAGGCTGAGGATGGTGTGACACACTGTGTCCTTTGCACAGCCTGTGTCACCTTGCAGGCTGAGGTCACACTGTCGTAAGCCACTCTTCCTTCTTGGAGTCAACACAGGCATGCTTTGGCTTTGTGATGGTGCTGCCACAGTCACGTGACGGTGCAGCCGCAGCAGGACTGCTGCCAGTCATGTGCCTTTGCATGCATATTCATGTGACCTCATAGTCATCTGACTACAGGCATTGTCATGTGACCCCTGGCATAGTCATGTGACTGCTGTCCTAGCTATGTGCTCACTGTCTCGGTCATGTGACTTCGGTAGTAGCCGTGTAACTGTGCTGTCACAGCTGTGGGAGCTCCGTGATTACTGATGGATGGGATGGACTTGCTGATTCTGGGTCGCATTTGTACAAGGTCGGATGCCGTTTGACTTCCACCAGGGCTGTGTTATAACTCTGCCGGGCCTCTGGAACTCTGGACACCCTCTGTCCTGTGATGCTGGAAGGACCATGGGAAAGAGTTGAGTGGTGAGCGGCTCAGGACAGGTAGTCAGCCCCTGTTACTGCCGAGAGAAATGCTACACGAACTGCCCCGGAGCGTCGGTGGTGCCCCTCAGCTGAGAGGAGGCGATGCCAGGCTTTCCCCTTTTAAAACACAGCGATACAGAATGAGCTGCACAGTTTTGGGTCCTCCGTCAAAAGTTACGGTTGTGACAGAGCTGTCTTGCTTGCCTTCAGAGCTTTGTGCATTTCCGATTCTCAGGTGTGGCCCCTGCTGCTTGCGTTGACTTGTTGGGCTGACGGGAGGTTTTAAAGGGGCATTTGCCACAGCTTGTGAGCTCAGTAGTAACCGTTGGGAATCCATAGGAAAATGCAGCGACCCGTTTACGGCATAAAGGAAATATCCTGGGGGTTTTATTATGTTTTTATTTTTTAAGAAAATATTGGTGAACCTGACATGCATGACTTAGGTTGGTGGGAGGCCCGGAGATGGCTTCCTGTTGGTACCAGCCCTTCCACGTTGGCTCAGCACCCCTCCCCCCCCCCGGCCCCCGTAGCTCCAGTTCCAGGGGGTCTGATGCCCTCTTGTGGCCCTCACGGGCTCCTGCATGCATGTCCTGCCCATGTATGCACACCTGTTTAACAAAAGGTGGTTTGGGTGCATTAAAAGTGGGAAAAAGCATTGCTGTCTTATCTCAACTCATGTGATAATGCCGTCTGTGAGCACATGCTGTTATTAGTAACAGAAAACCCATGGGGGAGGTGCTGGGCTAGACCTCCGCCACTCCAGCACAGTGACTGTCCTGGATGCTGGGACTAACCAGTCTTTCTTTTCTGCTTCTTCAGGGGCGACATGTCAAAACTGGGCAGCTGGCGGCCATCAAGGTTATGGATGTCACCGAGGTAAGGTCGCGGTGCCTGTGTTTATGGAGAGACTGTGACTGACAGGAGCCTTGGCGTGTTTGCAATTATGACCCCCTTACACACATAGTCTCCTGTGGGATCAGGGTCAGCAGCAGGCCCAGCTGCCGCAGGTGGCCAGGGACTGAGAGTCAGTTTGCCGAAGTTTCTTTCTTTTTACCAACCCACCCACGATGCCCAGCCTTTATCTGAGTGATACCGTCTTCGGCCACAAGGCGGGCTGTCCTGGAAACAGCTTCACTAACAGAATAGGCCATATGACTAGAGGGTGAAGGGAAAGCTTCCTGAGGGCTGAAGCCTAGTCTGCGCCGTTGCTTTTATCTTTTCCTGCTGGGAGAAAAAAAGATCGAGGTTCCCAGAGGTTGGAAGACAGAAACATCTGCTGAAAGGCTGAGCGGGTTGGTGGCCAAAGACAGTCCTTTTCACAGCCAGTGTGGAGCTGCTGCCCAGCGTTGGGTGGGAAAGAGGACCAAGCAGACAAAATGTGAGTCCCACATGCACTGTGCACACTCGGGGCATGCCTGGGTAACTGCTCTGTCAGAGGTCCCGAGCAACTCCATGTGCGTGGTTCTGGGCTGTTGTAGTGATCTGTTTCCTGCACTTGCTCCTCGTAAGTCAGTGTTGAGTCAGACTCCATAGTCACAGAGTCTCAGAAAGAGCCCGGCAGCCTGAGGAGTTGGCAGTCTTTACACCAGACCACAGTTTCCCCAAATCTGGAGTCCCGGAGGATGTACTGGCCGAGCCTAGCTCTGTGTGCCGTCGGAAACCCATGAGGGTCGTCTGTGCCCGCTCTGCAGCTCTCACACAGCCTGGGCCTGTCCAGGGCACGTCCAGGAGGTTAGAGTTAGAACACCCTGCAGACCGCAGGAAGGATGTTGAATCTGACAGAAGTGTGTGAAGGTGTGGCATTGCCTGAGGCCACTGCCCTCCTTTCTGTCACGCAGGATAGCTAGACACTTTGAAGAGGAAATTGTATTTGGTTGAGTATCCAGAAGATTAGCCATGGACAGCTCAGTTGAGTGTGGGATCCACCTTGGCATTCAGCTCAGTGGGGAACTGGACGCTTTTCCGCTAAATAGTCCCATTTGTTTGTTTTTGGGTTTTTTTAAGACAGGATTTCTCTGTGCATACTGGAACTCATTCTGCAGAACTCAGAGCTCGGCCTGTCTCTGCCTCCTGAGCGCTGGGGTCAAAGGCCTGTGCCAGCACTGCCTGATCAGTTGCACATTTTTCCAGAGCATTGACAGAGCAGCGCCTTGTCACTTACCGTGATTTCCTGTGGTGGGCATCTGTGACATGCTGGGAGACCGGGCCAGGAGTGGTGCCTTCTTGATGAAGCGTCCGTGCCTGCCCTGTGGGTCTTGCTGAGGTGTGGGCTGTGGTGTCGCCAGAGCCCACGCTTTTATAAACGCACGTGTTGACTGGTTTATTGTTAGGTTTGTGGCCACCACCTCAGATGTCGGCTTTGGTTCCAAGCTCAGGTGCACTCTTTCATCCCGGCACTCAGGAAGCTGAGGCAGGCAGATCTCTGTGAGTGTGAGGCCAGTGTATGCAGCAAGCCCCAGGCCAGCACGGGCCCCAGAAAGGGACCCTGTCTGTGAGAACATCTATAAAGCACGTGCACACTTAGACCTGTACTGAATGCTTTTGTGCTATTATTGTTATTTTCTGTGCTGGGCTTTTGTGCGTCCTAGCTAGACGGTGCTGTGCCACTGACCTATACACCAACTGTACACTTGAGTTGTGTACAGAAGGGAATTTCTTGCCTGAAAAATGCGGTAGCAGTGAACAGATGTATGACATAAAGACTTTTTAGGGCACCTTTAACAATAGTTAATGCCAGCTCATGTATTCCAGTGAAGTGGAAAGCGGAGATAAGCCTTAACCAGAACCAACCTCAGCTGACCCCTGAGTGTGCGAGCTCCTCAGTGCTGTCTCTTACATGCTCTCCTCTTGCAACGGTCTCTGCTGCAGCCCAGGGTGCAGAAAGGGCCCAGAGTAAGTGTGCGTAACAGAAGATGTGCAGCTGCAGCATGGAAACATGCCTTTGCCTGCCTGGAGCACCACGGCCTTGCCCGGAGCGTGTGGGCCTCAGCCTGGCTTCGACCTGGCCACAGAGGAGAGCGTTAGGCAGTTGTGCAGCAGAGCTCAGCTCTAGCAGGAGAGCTCCCTGGAGTGAGTTCTCTCGGTGAGAGTAGATTCTGTCTGCTTTCCCCTCTGTCTCATCTCAGGAGCAGAAAGACGCAAAGGTGAATCCCTGGGAATCACCGATGTGAGACAGGTCAGGACGGGTGCTGGGAGCAGGCTCAGAGGGCAGGAACGGTATGGGCGGGCGCACCCAGCCTGGCTCTCTCTGGTTGGCAGTCTGAATGTAGCTCCAGCTGCAGTGCGGGGGAAGACGTGGGCACCTCACCTGGCACACTTGGTCATGAGAAGAACCCGGACACAACCGACACACATTCATGTTCCCTGTGCTGCTTCAGCATGGGCTCTGGGTAAACTAAAGGAGAAAGCAAGCGAGGCATTTCTTTGTATAGATCTCTTCTGAACCTCCACGGAATTAAGAACTGAGGACAGACGGACTCTTCTGAAGGGAACTGTCTTTATCTGCTTGTTTTGGGGGAAGGTTTAAAGAACACGTTACAAAATCTTTAAAACTACATGGCACTAGCACCGTAAGTCGGTCATTAATGTGGGTTGTGTGTTTGCATCATTGTAACGTAATTTTAGACTGAGAGGGATGTTTAGGAAAATTTTAGACTGAGAGGGATGTAGAGGAGTCCCGTGTTCCTGTCACTCAAGTTTCTCGGGATGGCCTGGGTAGCATCCTGCAGAGCAAGGAAGGCAAAGCCCTCCCCGCGACTTCAGTGTAGAGTCTGCTGGGGTAGGCCAGGCAGTTGCACGGCGCCTGCTCAGACCTCAGTGTCGAGACTGGCCATGTAGACCGGTAGGGGGCGGTGAGGCCCACATCTGGCCATGGGGTGGGCAGGGAGGCACACATCTGGCCATCCAGGTAGGGGCGGTGAGGCCCACATCTGGCCATGGGGTGGGCAGGGAGGCACACATCTGGCGAGTGCATCGTTGGTTAGAACATCTGGTCTTTTGACACTTGTTTTCCATTGAGCTTATCTGCAGCCCTCGAAGTTGAGAGTCTTAACAGTCTCACTTTACCTTGTGTCCTAATAGTAAACTTGTGTTTACATTAGAGGCGTGCAGATTTGCGACCCATTTGCTTTCAGTTAATATCCTAGTAAGGTTTCTGTTAGTTTAAAGGTGAGTTAGCTGCTCCAGTGGTTGGTAACTTGGGGTTCATAAATTGTACAAGGTTTGTCTGTAGCCCCAACTTCTTTGTTGTTGTTGTTGTTTTGTTTGTGAAGTGTTTCTCTTTGTAGCCTTGGCTATCCGGAAACTCATCTGTAGCCCAGGCTGGCCTTAAGCTCACTGATATCTGCTGGCCTCTGCTGATGAAGTGCTAGGATTAAAGCTGAGTGTTGCCAGTGCCCATAAAAATCTTAATTCTTGGGCTGGAGAGATGGCTCAGTGGTTAAGAGCACTGTCTGCTCTTCTAAAGGTCCTGAGTTCAATTCCCAGCACCCACATAGTGGCTTCCAACCATCTATAGTGAGATCTGGCACCCTCTTCTGACCTGTGGGCTCTGCGGGCTCACATGCAGGCAGAATGCTGTATAAATAATGAATGAATCTTAAAAAAATATTCACTTACAGAAAGAGGGAGCAGTGCATATGAGTTAGTAGATTTGACAGTGTTTAACATTTGTCTGTGTGTTGTTGAAAATACGTACTGAACCATACCGAGCTGCCAGCGTATTAATGTCTCTGCGTGTGATATTGAGAGACAGAGTATTTTGAGATGAGAGCTTGCTGTCTTGTCCGTGTTGGCATCAATTGCTGGGCCGCAGAACTCCTCCTGCCTCAGTCTTCTGAATAGCTGGTGTTAACTCAGACACTTCACTGCAGCTGATGAGTTGAAGTATTTTAAAAGTGACTTAATTGGTAATGATTGCGGCTTTTTTGAACGGTTAGGCTTTTGTTTTGTGTAGGAATAGAATGTGTTTCAGGTGTGATTTAACTCATTTTAACTTAGGAGTTGGCAAAAAATAAGTTTCTCTGTTAGGGAGTCTCAGTTGTCGCTGTGATAGATCACAGCCTGTGGGAGGAGACGTTTGCTCAGACTCACACTTCTTCCTACAGTCCATCATGGCGGCTGAACCTAAATGGCTCCAGGCGGCTGCTCACACACGTGTGCAGAGAGGACACAGAGTGTGCATGCTTGCATGCACTGTCCTCTGTGTGATTCAGGACCAGCACAGGGAACGCTGCTGCCCACAGTGGGCGTGGCTTCTTGCCTCAATTGGCCCAATCAGGGCGATTCTCTCCAGGTTGCTCTAAGGCTTGGTTGACAGTTGAGGAAAGAATGGCTGTTACAGGTCTCATTTTTGGAAAGTCTACGCTCTATGCACAGTAACAGTTGGCGTTCAGAGAGACATGTCTCTTCAAAGCCCTGCAGCCGTTACCAGAATAGGATCACAGTCTTACTCTAAGCATTAGAATTCCTAATTAAGTCCACGGTGGTATATGGACACATTAAGTTCCGTGTTCTGCTTCACTGGTGGATTAGCCGTTTTTCTCGTCGCTGTGAGTGAGTGCTTGAGATTGAGCAGTTTATGGAAGGAAGGTTTTCTGACTTTGAGTTTGGGGGGGTTCCTGGCTGCATGGCATGGGGCGGCAGTAGCAGGCAGCCAGGAAGGACGGAATGAGCAGGAGGTTGGCTAGACAGCCGCAGGGCCAGCACCCACTGACACATTTGTTCTAGCAAGACTCTACTTCTTACCGGCTACACACGCCTCCCAAGCGCCACTACAAGCCGGGAGTGCACAGCGGTGTGCCGATGCTCAGACCACCGTGTTCTGCCTCTGTTCCCCACGTCAGCGCTCTACTTGAAAATTCAGCCTTATGCAGCTT